ACCTATCGGGGGTTTCTCTCCATAACATTAGTGCTTTCAGCTTTTTAAACCCCCTTGTTTTTTTAATAAATAACTTAATTTGAACAACGTGACTCTTTATCGCATATACGTGACCTTCTCCCCTTCAAAATGAGATATCATTTATTAAATTTGATAAAATATTAAAGGAGATATCGTTTGGTAACAGAAAAATACCTTTTAAAAACAAGTATATACATACATAGATTATCGTCACAGCCATCATTCTGTTCGTATTGAACGTAACATACAAATGTCCAAATGTTTATAATTAGTAAAATTTACGTCAATGCAAATTAAACTTATCTAACGCCCGCGCTAATTGATTTTCCAACACATTGATTATCTCAAAGATACTTGAATATAACTTCCAAAGTAATTTAAAATTTCAGTAAAATGCAGCATTTCCCATATCAGCAAGACATCATTGGCTGTCCACTAAGCTTTGAAATGATAAGAACCATATTGATAACAGTAAATTAAAGTGATAAACAAATCGCAGAAAGTATAAAAACCATGGGCAGAAAATTTGTGGCATAGTTGTATATCATCGATTGGTGCTATACGGCATTTTACGTATTCCCCAAGGTAAGGGACTTTAAAGGTTTTTCTCCATTCTACAACAAAAATATCCTGAAAAAATTATACTTAAACTTTTATTTTTTCCTTCTACTCTAATAGCAAAATGTTCAAGTTTTTCGTGTTCATCACCATTTGCGCCGCCTTGGCCTCGGCCAATCTGGTGCGTGTGCCCATCTACAAGAACCCCAAACACAGCAAGTCTCATCGGGCTGTGCAGACCGAATTAGCTTACTTGCGCTCCAAATATAATGTACCCAGCGCACGCAGCGCCACCGAGCAATTGGATAATGATCTGAATATGGCCTACTATGGCAAGATCACCATCGGTACACCACCACAGGAATTCTTGGTGCTTTTCGATTCCGGTTCCTCAAACTTGTGGGTGCCTTCGGCTACTTGCCCCGCCAGCAACCAGGCTTGCCAATTGCACAGCAAATACAATTCAAACGATTCCAGCACCTATGTCGCTAATGGCGAAAGCTTCTCCATCGAATATGGTTCCGGTAGTTTGTCTGGTTTCTTGTCCCAGGACACAGTTCGTGTAGCTGGTCTCACCATTCAAAACCAAGTATTCGCTGAAGCTATGGAAGAACCCGGTACCAGCTTTGTCTACTCGAACTTCGACGGTTTGATGGGTATGGCTTTCCAATCTATTTCCAACGACGATGTGGTGCCACCTTTCTACAATATGTGGTCTCAAGGACTCATTGATAAGG